TTTTAAACATATTGTGTGTGTATGTGTGTCTCTGTGTCTGTCTGTCTGTCTGTGTGTGTGTGTGTGTGTGTGTGTGTGTGTGTGTGTGTCTGTCTGTATGTTTGTCTGTCTGTATCCTCTGAGACATCCGATAAAATTGGAACGATACAGAGAAGATTAGCATGACCCCTGCGCAAGGATGACACACATAAATCGATATATATGGTAGTATCATAATTTATAAATCTATAAAATGTAGACTTATTAACATGTTATAACATTGTAAAAAGTTATGAATTGCACAAAACATGAAAACCCTAGAGTGAAAATTGTTTTGAAATTCAAACAAATTGGAAGTTTGTAAGTCATGTAGCAGGAGCAGGTGACGACGTTAAAGCGTGCAACAGGTGGTGGTGTCGAGAGCATTAAGAAGAGGCAGGGGAGGCGGTGGCTTGGAGGCAGTAAGTGAAACAAGCTGCACGTGCACTAACAAGCTGCAACTAAGCAACAAGTAGCGGTGATAGCAGAGTCGACAACAAAAGTGAAACAAGCTGCACGTGCACTAACAAGCTGCAGCTAAGCAACAAGTAGCGGTGATAGCAGAGTCGACAACAACATGATCAGGTGGTAGTAGCGGCGTCGGCAACAACATGATCAAGTGGCGACAACGGCAATATTGACCGATGCAACAAGCGGTAATGTTTAGTGCAACAAGAGTAGGAGGTAGAGGAGTGGGTGGTGTGGCAGCAACAGGCGGAACAACAAGCTGCAGGTGCAATATCAAGTTGTAGTTGAAGCAAAATGTGGTTGCGGCGGCGATGGCAGTGGGAGGTTCAAGCGGCGACGATGGCGCCCGGTGCAATAAGCGATTGTCCCAACCCGAGCATGAGGGAGGTGGGAGACTGGAGGCTTGTGGGTTTGAACAAAACAGACAATTCATAAATACCTAATTTGACAACTATATAGAATATGAGACGAATGCCTCATTAAACTTGTGATGAAGCATGCCTTGTTTTGCGTCTTATCAACAGTGAAACGTACGCCTCACACAATCCATGAAAGGCGTACACCTCGACGCAGTTTTTTTTGCAATTGCATAGAGGCACTTCTTTAATTGCGCAACTTTAGACGGTATATATAATAATTAGTATATGAAAAAACGAAGGGAGTGCATGCCACCTAATTGAGGTGCCACTTTTTACATTATGTTTTATGCAAAAAATTTTAACAAAAGGTAAATTGGTTTTGCTTTAAATGCTAACAGTAGCATAGAGGTTCTACTTTGTGTTTTGAAAAATACCGAATTAGGCAATTCTGTTTTGTATAGCTATAAAATCTTGTTGAGATTGTAATGATGTGAAATGGATTGGTTCAACTATCCTGCTTGGTTTACAAGTGCCATAAGCTCGGCATACATAGAAATGCCTTTATAAATTTTTTAACTTGTTTTAAGGTGGGCATCCTGCAAAAGATCATCTATAGAAGGATGTTAACGTAATAACTGGCAAATGTGATGGAATGGCTCCACACTTTGTCAGAAGAGAATATTGATATTTTTGTAGCTATGTGTAAGAAGAGAATAATGAGAAGTTGAACTGGGATTGGTTGGAAATCTTTATAGCTCGACGGAGTTATAGTGTTGTATATTTTATGGCTTCATGATGAGGGACACCAATTTTTTTTCTCTGAGCTCATGTGTCTTACTGTCATCTTGGTTGGCTTTCTAGCCTTTGGGTTTGAGTTCTAAAGTAGGGTTGGTACCACAATTTTGATCAGCACTGGTCTCACCAGTTGTTATGCCCATGGTCAACTGTTCCGGAGGTTTCTATTGTCATAGAAGAGGAAAGTTCCTTGCCAATTTCTACCAGAAGGAATCTGTTTTTTACTTTTCATAACTAGCCCGAAAAGATATTTCTTACTTTGGACTTGGTTTTCTGTGAACTAATCAAATTGCGACCTTGTATGATAATTTCATCTTGAATCAATTTTTAAAATGTGATTCAAATCTTATGAACTCAGGCTAGTTTGGTTTTGCTCTAGTAACTTAAGGAACAACCTTATTTATCCACTTCCTTGCAGTGATAAGTTGAGTGTTATAGAGTTGCCATGAAAATTAAACTGGATGTTATTGGAGTGTTTGCATGATTGATAACTGTTTTGCTCCTTTGAAAAATACTTGCAAGTTAAATGACATTTTGGCTACTAAGGGGCGATAAATTAGAGTGGCCCTCTTTAGGACAAGGGATCAAAATATATTTTGGGGTTAATCATAGTATTCTCTCCATCATTTATGCATGCAAATTTCCTTCTATTTTCAATTTAATTTTTAGAAGCTTTTCCTATAATTGAAGTTAAACAATGGTTTAATTTATATAATAACTTTGTGGATAATTACCTTCTACTATGTAGTAATTTCCATAAATATGATTTAATATATATGCAATAAAAAATGAGTAAACACTAGTATTTTCATTTTATTAGAAAATTTAAATAATTTCTTTTACATTTCATTTAATAAATTATCTTAGGAGCAACATCAAATATTGTATCGATAAGATACATTCACTGTAATTTTTTTTTTATTTTACATGTGGGTATGATTGTCACGACCTGACCCAGGAGCTTGGAATTATCATGCTGACAACTATCGGTTGGGCGGAGGAAAGTATCTAACAATTTCTTGTCATAACTAAAGTAAAATTCAAAACAGAAAAGAATCATATTTTTTCATAAAACTTATATTTACAACAGTTTATTTATGTTTAAATATTTGCATCCAACAAAAATAAATACCGAGCTATAATACCTATCAGTCTGCACTCCTCGGCATTTGTACACGTACTCTCTGAGGTTCATCTAGTCTAAAGCTGGTTTTTCTGTAATATGTTAGCACCTAATGATTGAATTAAAACTATTCAGTGGAGAAATGTTTCTGAATTATAATAATTCTCATTTTAAAATATTTTTTAAATTGCAGTAAAAGAACATTAAAAAAAATATTTTTTCCGTTTATTTTCATTTATTTTCGTTACACTTTTCGTTATTGAGAGTCATCGTCTAAACATATATTTTAATAAAATATATCTTTAATATTTTTTAATCATCATAAAGGTAGACAATCATTTACATTTGAATTTTAATTTCCCTTTCCACTTCTATTTTCATGCGCGGGGATATTGTATTCCTCTGCCAGTACCATCAAGAGGTGACTCCTATATGTATGCATATATGAATTTTATTTCTCTTCTTGCATTTAAAACTTAAAAGAAACATTAACTTTTACATTTTAAAAGAAAAGTTGTGATATAACAAAAACATATGTATTAAGTTATTTACAGTTTGAAATTTTGCCAAATTTAAAGTTTCATAGAAATATTCAATTTACCTTTATTTCTATGAAATTTTCAATTAAGTGATTTTAACATTGTTTAGTTCAATTTAATACATATAATGATAATAATTAAAGAAATTTTATGTTAAAGCTTCTAAAATTTTCTTTTGGGATTGCTTGAATTTGTTAGTAACTTAATTCTAAATAAGTTTTAAACTTAGGGTTCTTAATTCATTTTAACATTAATTAATTAGGAAAAAAATAATTAATTATCAAAATTAAACTTTAATACTTGATCATAGTTCCTTTCCATTGTAACTGTTGTTATGAAGATAACAATTGAGATTAATGGGTAGTTGTGGTAAAATTGAAAAGATGTTGGGATGGCTAAGGTTGCAGCCTTGCAGGCTTGGATCAAGGAAAAGCTTTTGATGGTGGTGGGGTTTTGTGAGCCCTGATTATGAAGGGAGCAGAACTTGTAGAGTTGGCAGCATTGAGAGTGAGGGAGTTCGATGATAGAACATCTAAAATTCAAGAATGGACAAAAAACAATGTCTGGGCTCTTTGGTTTAATGTAATATTATGCTATTTAGGATAAACATTGTTTGGATTGATGTTATCTTACATTGTGCTAATCTAAATGACATTGTTAGTCGAGATTAAGATAATCTAAATAGCGGCCAAATTGAATGCTATCTAAATTGCTTCAATCTTGATGGGTTTTTTAAAAAGGAAAGTATTTGATCACCATTAATTTTTCTCAATAATATTTTTTAATAAGATAATATTGAACTAAACACAGAACATTTGAAAGATAAAATTTCTATATGAATAACATTGTTGTTTAGATAACAACATTTTCTACCTAACATTGTACTAATAAGACCGTAATTTGTTTTTGCATAGTATTCATTTTCTCTTAAGCACGGTGCCTAAGAACATCATTTTGAAAGTTATGACTTTTGGTTGATGTTGAGGATCATCTGCTTTGAATTTCACTTTTTTCAAATCCTAAAGAACATATAGTTTCGAGGAAAGTGATTATGTTCTTTCCCTCTTTACAAATGCATTCTCTGAATTTCTATATTTGCATCTATTTATACATATCTAAAATAAAAAAAAGGCAATTATTAAAGTGTGCATGAGTCTGAGCTTGTGCTTCTGCATATATACCCAACTGTAGTGTCACTGAGTGACTGATTATTGTTTTATCTTTTAGTTGATATTTCCAAATATAATAGACACAAGCTCTCCCTATTGTCCTTCCATTATGTAGCTTCTTTACCACAATAATTTTAATTTAGATGTGTCTCTAGATTGTGTATTCCTCTCCAATCGAGTTTGCATTACAGAATCAATTGGATTTAGTTTCCTGTTGCTGTTCCTGCTTTAATTTACAATATAGTGTCCTGAATTTTTGGTTTTGTAGATGCCAGAGATTCTCTAGAAAAGTGACCAAATGACTTTTTTTTTACCATTCCATGTCAGCTATAATATATGATGCATATATATTTTTTTATTTTTGGCAAATGTTTTTTTTTTTTTTGATGATTTATTTGTTATTTGGTTTTGGGCTTCTTAAGATGAGATAGGAATACATAAATCCATACAATTTTGAGTCTGAAGTTTCCTTTTCTAACTTGTCTTCTGAATCTTAGAGATCCTAATACCGAACTTACAACTAATACAGGAGCAGTTGAAGCCCTTGACGATGCAACTTGCTCGAGTAAAGGATTTAGCTGTTCCTGAATTTGGAGGACTCTTAGCATGGGAAGCTAGAGTACATGCTGCTGCACGTGTTACAGGTGATTATAATACCAACGACTCTTCCAAATCTTCTCAGGGTCAAGGATATGGTGGGACACCCATGCCATTTCTGGGTGAAACGAGGGTATGCTTTCCTTTTGTCCAAGTCAATTTCTAGCTTTATGCAAATACGTTCTTTTCAGCCAAGGTTGATATGGTAACTGAATTGGTATTTGGTTGGTTTTGCTTTTTCATCATCATCATTAGCCTCCGAATCACTTTTTATTATGTCTGCCAATTTCAATGATGCTACTTCCACTCCTTGTCACGCATATATACTGATAATTCATTCCACCTCCAATTTTAACTATCATCCATCCTACCATGCTCCTACCTGCTTCATTTATCTTGTTCTTGTAAAAAATTCAATGTAGATCACAGTATGAAGAAGCCTGCTAAATCATATTCCCTGCATTATTTGTTGGTAGAACGATCGTTTTTTTTTAAATTATCGAGTCTACTGGGTCCATTTACTCAAATTCGTTGTTTAGTGCCTACATAACCTATTTTTGTGCTGCACAATCCATATGCAATGTATTTTATAAAGAAAGTAACATTTGCCCAATGGTTGATTAATGTTGACTTTGCCATGCATTTGCTACTTGAATAGTCAAACCTGTAAGACATCCGTTCAATCCTACTTAATATTTTTATGAAATTAAATTCTGTTCATGAGTGCAGCTCATGGGCCTACTATTAGAACCACATTTACTTCATTTTCTTTTTTGTATTATATCAAATATTGTACAGACTCTTAAGTTGGTGAAAATACTCGACATTCTCAGTCCATTCAGTTTCCATTTTTCTGAATTCCTTGATAAAAGCACTAATAATCTTGCTTTTTTCCTTCAATAGCATGCCTACATTGTTTTGAGTCATGCATGATGATATCTGCTATTTTAGTAAGCTGTTGAAGGTTTGGAACCTGTTTGTAACTCTTATCATTTAATTTTTTAACAGAATCTTCATCATGTTATTTTTATACTAATGTTGGTAGGTTGAGGTTGCATTATCTGGTATGGATGTAAAAGAGGAGGGCACTGAAACCGATACAAAATCTACAACCATGAAAGTTTTACCTCCTTGGATGATCAAGCAAGGAATGGTTCTCACGAAAGAACAAAGAGGAGAAGTTAAACACGAGATAAAGACAGAACAGAGTTCATATACTATTGATGAGAAGAAGCCAGGTGCTGAGAAGGAAGATGAAAAAAATTTACAGGCTAGTTCAGTTGATGGATTTTCTATAGCAAATCCCCATTTAATTATAGTTTTTGATCCTGTAACTTATCTCATGTTACATTGTTTTACTTTGTGTACTAATTCAAATTTTGTAGGATGAGTACCTCAAGGCTTACTATGCTGCTCTGGCGAAGAGACAGGAAGAACAGGAAGCAGCATCCAGAAGAATGCAAGAAGAAGCTGAGAAATACAAGGCATCAACATCTGACCTTTTCAATGGCACCTTTGGAGCTCCTTATGATCGGAAAGTTGGTATGAAATCAAAACGTGTGGAAGATGACAACGATGATGTTGATTGGGAAGAGGCTGTTCCAACAGGTAATTTTTTTCTGATGCATCCAATCAATTTGTTGAGTATAGATGCTTAATGGTTTGCCTGAAAGTGCACTGCTTTGTTTAAGTTCTTCAGTTGATCTGAGATCTGTTTGCCATATATATTTGATTACGTGATGTTTGCTGGCGTGCACGGGTTTTCCTCAACAGTACTTTCCTAAACATGTTTGATAGCTTGTTTGTGTTTTAATAAGCTTTTGGTGAAGTTGCAAGTTGTAATGCTAATGTTGAAACATGATAAATTTATTTGGTAAGGCAATGCCTCCTTAACCTTTTTTATCAATTGATATTAAGTTATTGTCGTTCCTTAGTCTTTTGATTCATTCTTAACATAATTGTTAGTTCAAATTGACGACTTAATGATTTTCATGGTTATATTTTGATACAATGTGAGACATCCAATGTGGTAGTACTCATTCACGAGTAATTGTGTATATTAATTTTATGTATTCCTTCTTATCTTTGCCATTTTTTATATAATAGTTTAGTCTTCAAGGGCCATGATTGTGTCAAATCATCAAAAGAAATGACTGTTTTATCCTGATAGCTAAGAAGTAACAAATTGCTAAGTTTATTTTTTTTTAGCTTGACATAAAATTGATGCATAATTTATGATGACACAGAGATGGCCCTTGAAGACTAAACTATTATATAAGAAATGACAAGCTAAGTAAGAATACATAAAATTAAACAATTACTCATGAATGAGTGCTAGTTAGAGTTCTCACATTATATCAAAATATAATAATAAAAAAAACATTAAGTTAATAACTATATTTTACCGTGATGTGCTTATCATTGCCCTAGGTTTTATTGAGATTTGTAGAAATTAATTGGGAAAATTGCTTGATTCCATTATTCACATGTAGGGTACATATATATAGAAAATTCAATCCCTCCTAAATCAGGGAAGGAAATAATTCATAAATAAAAAAAATAAAGAAACATAAATAGGAAAGAAATAAACACAAATCACAAGGTTTCCAAATTGGTTTCCAATCAAATCTCCCATAAAATCTTGGATAGCTAGCAGGTCCATACTAGGAAAACCATATGAAACTTCTCAAGTTTTAACACTCCCCCTCAAGTTAGGTTGTTGATATTATAGAGAGCAAGCTTATTATTGAGATCTAAGAAAGTGCTTAAAGGTGGGCTTTGGTGAAGACATCAATAACTTGGTATGTTTGTATATAGCTTAGTTTTATAATTCTGCTTTTAGTCTTTTTAGAGACAAGTGTTTATCAACTTCAGTATGCTTGGTCCTGTGATGATTTACATGATTCTTGGCAATACTTATAGCTACGTGACTATCATGAAACCTCTGTATAGACATATTGGAGGTATGTTCCAGTTCCCTTAACAGTTTCTGAATTCATATTTCTTCACAGATTCTCAAGGCAAATACTATATACTCTGATTCTGCACTGCTTCTAGAAACAACATTTTGCTTCTTACTTCTCCTTGTAATCAGATTTTCGCATACGTATGAGCAGTAACAGGTTGTAGAACTTCTGTGAGTGAGTTCCCCTACCCAACTAACATCAGTGTAGAGTTCCACATTTCTGTTTTTGGTTTTCTTAAAAATTAATCCATAATTAGGAATTTTCTTGAAAAACCTCAGAATCTTATATACCATCTCCAAATGCTCTTCATTTGTGTTATTCATGTGTTGGCTCACTATACTGATAGGGTATGAAATATCTGGCTTAGAATGTGATATATAGATGAATTCTTATACCAATCTTTTGCATCTTCACTTATCCACAAATATGCTCTCTTCTTCACTATTAGACTTCTTGTTGGGTTCCATTGGAGTATCAACATGTTTACTTTTAATCATCAGTGTTTCATTTAGTAGATCTAGGAGGTATTTTTTCTATAATGTAACAATACTTTTCTTAGACTTTGCTACCTCCATGCCTAGAAAATATCTCGTTTCTTAGGTTCTTGATTTTAAAATCAACGACGAGCTTTGATTTTAAGAGTTTCTATTTCATCTTCACTAGTAAAAATCATATTATCCACATATAAGATAAGTGTAATAATGCTATCTCTCTGACTGTATTTTATGAACAATGTGTGATCAGCTTGACTTTGAGAATATTCTTTGAATTTCATAATTTTAACAAACTTTTCAAATCACGGTTTTGGTGATCGCTTAAGTCCATAGAGAGACTTCCCGAGTTGTATACTAAGTATTTGTTGGAATCATTCTCAAGTTCCGGTGGTATATCCATATACACTTCATCTGCCAGATCCCTATTCAGGAAGGTATTTTCTTATGTCAAGTTGTTGCAGTCCTCATCTTTATTAACTGCTACTGGAAGAAGAGCTCTAGTAGTTGTCAAATTTGACAACTGGTTCAAAGATCTCCTGATAATCAATCTGATAGTCTTGCGTGAAAAATTTCGCAATAAGTCTCTCTCAATGCTCCCATTAGCTTTATATTTGATGTTAAACACTCACTTGCATCTAACAAGCTTATTATCTTGGGGGAATTTAGTAAGAATCCATGTGTCCCTATGCTATAGTGCTCGAATCTCTAATTCCACAGCTCTTGTCCATTATGAATTTTTCAAGTTTTTCATGAATGAATTTAGGAATCTGAACATTTTTAATGCTAAGATATAAACGCTCTGTAGGTTGAGCTACATACTCTTGAATTGGGTATCTGGTACAACTTTCCTTGTCATCAACACTAGAAGAGAAAGAGGCTAACTCAAGAGTATTAGTCCCATTATCTAAAATTTCAATTGAACGTGGACACCGGTTTTAATCGGAGCAGTTCTGTTTCTGCGAGTTATCTTTCATCAGCTCAAGATTTTTGTTTCTTCTAGCATACAAACGAAATTCTTTGTCGTGCATTTCATGTTTGGTTGGTTGGATATCCTTAACAAGACAAGGAGAGTTTGGCGAGGTAGGAACAAGTGTAGGCGGGGTTGCCGTGTAAGTGTCACCCCCGACCGCTCATATCAGATTTGGGAGTATGATTTCCAAAAAAATGTGACACCTATGTAGTAAATTTTTCTAGTAATAGTAGAGTTACACTTATACCCCTTTTGTTGGAGGCATGCTAAAAAATATACTTGATAAATTTTGGGTCAAGATTTATACGGTTTGGTTTGTGAATGTAGACAAAAGAGACACTCAAATATTTTTAGAGAAAGATTGGACGAGAAGATTCTAATATAAGGGTAATTTTTTCATTAAAATATAGAGAGGGACTTTGAGTCCAACAATCTTGCTTGCGATTTTATTAATGAGGTCGGTGGCTAAGAGCACATTCTCCCAAAATCTTTTAGGATATTAAGAGAAAACATTATTGACCAAAGATATCTGAAAGAGATGTCTATTATTACTCTCAGCTATCACATTTTGTTATGAAGTCCGAACTCATGAACTATATGGATAATATCATTCTTTACAAGGAAGGGTTCAAGGATAGAGTTGAAGTATACCTTTGCATTTTTAGTTTTGAGACTCTCAGCTATCACATTTTGTTATGAAGTCCGAACACATGAACTATATGGATAATACCATTCTTTACAAGGAACGGTTCAAGGATAGAGTTAAAGTATACCTTTGCATTTTTAGTTTTGAGAATTTGAATTGTGCATTGAAACTGAGTGTAAATCATGTCATAAAAGGACTGAAAATTTTTGTAGTTTCAAATTTCTCTTTCATGAGAAATATCTAACTGTTTTTAGTGTGATTATCAATGAAGGATACAAATCATATATGTCAATTCATTGTTTTCAATTTTGAAGATTCCCAAATGTCACTGTGGATGATGAATAAATGATTTGAGAGTTTCTACTGAGACTGATGATATGCATGATGGGTATGTTTAGTCATTCGATAAGTTTCACACTAATAGAACTCCGACTTTTTGTTAATTAAAAGATGGGGGTGAAACTTCACAATATAAGAAAAATTGGGATGACCCATACAATTATGTCATAATAAAACTTGATTTTTCAATTGGCTCAGAAACAACAGACTCGAGATCATGAGAAGGGTATAATAGAGAAAAGACTTTGTGTTAAGGGAATTGTTCTTCTTGAACAGGTATAGACTTTGATGCAATTCAAGACTGTCAATCACTTTTCCCAAATCCATGACTTGAAATTCACAAGAGTTGGGGTGGAATTTAATAACACGATTCAAGTCATGAGTAAGCAGGTTAATTGAAAGTAAGTTGTACTCTAGTTTAGGAATATATAGCACTGATGAAAGCTGAATATCTTTGGAGATGTTCACATTTTCTTTCTCAACAATCCCTGAGTGAGATCCATCAGCAAGTCTAACAAATTTGGGGTTGGTGATCTCTTGGTAGTTGATAAAGACATGAATGTCCCTAATAATGTGATTAAAAGCACCTGAATCTATTATCCACGGTTGAAATTTTTCAATGTTAACAAGATAGAAAGATATGATGTCTTGGCCATCAAGCTAGTATGCTCCGGAGTATAACTAGACATCTTCATTTGGTACTTGGTCATAAACCCTATTTACATTTAGGTTTGGAAGAATTTTGAGCTACTACAAGCTACAGAATTCTTGGCTGCTTTACCACGTAAGTGGATGAATGCATGAAAACCTGCAAGGACCTCTGGTAGCTGTTGAGAGACGTCCGACAGGGAAAGGGAGCAGCAAGACCCACTGTAGGGAAACAATGGAAGAAAAGACAGGAATTGAGAGGGCAGAGTTTTGCAGGTTACAGGGAGAACCGCTGCGGGAGAAGTTATGGAGGATGGCCCGCTGCATGTAGAAGCTTCAGAGAAGGGTCTGCTAGAGGGAGAAGTTTCGACAGAGGGCTTGCAGGATGACAGGTGACTGCGGGTCTGTTTGGTGCAGCTGCAGCTTATTAATAAGCTACTGTGCAACAGCAGTGACATGAAACTTTTGTGCAGAAGCTATTGCAGATAAATTGACTGTTTGTTTTTTTTTGCAGTTTGAAAACAACTGTGCCTCAGTTGTTTCTGGACAAATGACTATTCAGTCATTGCATTTTAATTCTGTACAATAGAATTGTTTATACTAGCTCATCTCATACTTGAAAGCAAATATCCAGTCGGAACATTACAAAATAAAAATAGACATCTCATTAAACAGTGAGTAACACGAATATCAAAATTAAAAAAAAGGTCTACTAAATAAATTCAAGCGTCTCTGCTGTCATAAAAATAATGTTAATAGTTGATCCTACGGTCAGGGGTCATCGTTATGAAGAACTCTCTACGGGTTTGGTCCTCCAACAACTTCATGGAGAAAAGCTTTAACGACATGTCTTCAGAAATTTCTAGAGTTGTCTCCAGAATTCGCATAACTTGTTGGATGAAAGTTGCTTGTGACGTCTCAGGGTCATTGGTGAATGAAACCATTAATTGTGAAATTTGGCTTCTAATGAAAGCAACCCCTTCTTTTTTCTTTTTGGACTCCAATTTTGGACTTCAAAATAGTAAACATTTTGGACTCTCCAATTTTACACGTGACTTTACTGTCAGCCGCAGCCACCCTAAGCTAAATTTGGATCAGGAATATACTATTAATTCAAGTATACTTTAGATGAGAAAATGGCTCAACCAGAACCAAGCTACAAATTCTGAAGATAATACACTGTTTGCTAAAAATTTAAGGGAAGTTGGAGTGTTTGGCGTACTGGTCTTCATTTTTCAGATTACATAGTGATGCGTAATTGTGTTTCATTTCTTTTGAGCAAATTTCATAGTTCTCTTTGATTTCTTTTAAGCAAATTTCATAGTATTTTCCTTCATCAGCTTTATTTGTTGGCAATCTTCTACAAATTCCTAGGAGACTTCTTTTATCCCAAATATCTTTGCCCCACTTTTTCACAAAGTTACTAAACTTATTTCTTTGTGATCTAAGTTAAAAACTTCTAGATGATGAATGGTTTCTTCAGTACAATAATCTTGGTAACTTATTAACATTTATCATACATGTTTAAATATTTCTTATGCTATCATGCAGTTTTTAAGCTAAATGCACAATTTATGCACTTCCGGAAAATTTGGGATCACTTTTATTTTTCTGTTTTTGTTTATATTTTGTTTTCAAACAAAAAAAATGTATGGCATATGGAAACATGTCTTAAAAAATACTCAATAATAGCTTAGGGTTGTTTTGAGTATTTTTTAAAAGCAAATTGATTTATTAAAAAAAATAAAAGCATTGAAAAATACACTATACAAATATTTTTGCAAACAAGAGAAAATAATGAACAAAAAATAAATAATAATAATAAAATTGGTCTCAAGGAGGATCTCTGGTTGTGTCCTTTCCATTGCTTTAACTACATTCAGTTAACTGAAAGAGAATACATAATCCTGTGATGTTTCTCAAATTTCATTTCAGGCAATCAGAGTGAAACTTTCAAGCTTGCTGACCTGAATGCCCAGCCAGAAGCATCTGGCGATGATGAAGATGACATAGATTGGGAGGAAGGCTAACTGTACCATAAATAATTTGATTTGCATGGACCATTTAAAAAAAAAAAATTCTTATTAATATAACATTCATAGATTGGCTTGGTGAAGATTGAGAACTTTAATATGCACTGAAATTAAGTTTTGTAGAACTGATGCTGTACACTCCAATATCCCTAAAGCAGCAGAACTGTTGTTCACCATGATTATATGAGGCCTGTTTTTGGTATGTTCATTGTACAATTTGATTGGATTTTAATGTAAAAATAAGTTCATTATCGATTCACTGATGTGCAATTGAAATAATGTGTTCCACAAAGCTTGCACACCTATTCATTTTCGTTTGTTGCCTTCACCGTCTACTGCTGATATCTTTCGGTTGCAAAGCATGGTGACTTTATTTCCCATAAACTTGGCATTTATTTGGCATAGCTTTCTATATGTTATAAGTTTCAAATCACCACCGCAGATTTGGTTGTCGAGTTGCTTTCCTGTTGCTTTCTAGAAATTTAAGGTAGAAATATTTTTTGTCACGATTAGGCCCGGGAGTATAGAAATCATCAAAGCAAGAACTGACGGTTGGACGTAAGAAATTTATCTATAAGTTTCATTTATGAACAAATTCAAAGCATAAATGAGCCACTATATTTAAAATAAATTAAGTTACATGCATTTCATATACACGTTCAAAAATATTTACAACTTACAAAATAAAAGTAAATTCATCATCTATTAGTTTCCGTTCCAAGATGCCTGTACACGTAATCCTCATGGTCTGCTAGTCTACATCCTTTTTTTATAAAAATGTTAGCAACTAAGGTTTGAATTAGAATTATTTAGTTGACAAATATTTTTAAACTACAATATTCTCATTTTAAAATATTTTTGTAAATATGCAACAATAATAAAAGATTGCGTAGTAAAAAAAAAATTAATAAATAAATCAGTTTTATTTTCTTTTATTTGTTTGTGATATTATTTTCATAATTGTAAGTCAACATCTAAATGTATGTTTTATAGAAATATGTATTTAACCTTTTCCAACTCTTAATAAAAGCAGACATTAAATTTTTTTATTGTTTTCATTTCGATTTCTATTTCTATTTTTATGCATGGGTACATTGTATTTTCCTGTCAATACTATCCAAGTGTGACACTCATATGCATGTATTATCATATTTTATTCATTTTTACCTTGTATTTAATATTTAAAAGAAAACATATACTTTACATTTAAAAGTTAGAAATAGTAAAGAAACAAAAATTATTGTAAAATAAAAAACAATTACCCTCAACAATAGTTTATGCTATCATTTTCCTTGTATCAATCTAAATAAATTAACCTTTATTTGCCTTATCAGGTTTATTTTTCTTTCACATGAATTTTAAATAATTATTTGGAGAATTTTCAATTATATTATATCTTACTGACACACAAACACACACTAACACAATATATTTAGGAATATCCAATTAAATTTTATTTTAAAGCTTTTGGGCATACCTATGTTTAATAACAACTTAATTATAGATAAGTTTTAAATTTAGGGTTCTTAATTTCATTAAATTAATTAGGATTTACAATCCTAACACAATAGTAAATACAAAATTAACATTTCATAATGTAATTTTAAATCAATTAAAATTAATAATTTAACTTCCGTACGCAGAATTACCGTGAACCCTTCCTCTACAGTCTACCGTGAACCCTTCCTCTAAGTTCTCGGCCTAGCTTCTACATGCCGCGAGCTAGGGAAAAGTCGCAGCACCTCTCCTCCTTCCTCTCTACTGATGAGATAGGGCACAGAAATCTCTACCCTCCTCATTTTACTTGGGCGGAGCATAAGAAGCTTCGAGTGACGCTTACTAGCATTCATTGCTTCGTCTCCCTTTCCTTATACCCTCGCACGATGGATGGATTGTTGATGACAGGAAAAGAAAAGCTCGAGCATTCCAAGTGATCAATCCAGCTTCTCATTCTTCTTCCTCCTTTATTTTCCTGCTCTGGTACTCGATAGAGCCAGCCGAGCTTTTTGGAAGGCACGATACGGAGGGAAACGACACATCATGTAAGTCTCTAGTTTCCTTCTCCTCCTCTTCCTCCTTATTTTTTTTCTTCCTCTACTGGTTCCTTCTTCCTTCTCCTTTTCTTCTTCCTCGGCCTTCTGATATCTCAAGCTCCCTTTGTCTCTCTCGCACCTTCTGTGTGGGTGAGTTCGTATGAGGGAAACGAAGGGAAAGTGCATTTTGGCTCTCCCACTAATGAAAAAATGTTGCATCCGGAGTTCGGATGCAGCCCTGCAACCAGACACAAATGAAATATTGCCATAAGACATGTTCGCACCGAAAAAAATGATTAAAATGTTCTTTATTTTAATGTCTAACCCAACCCGAACTAACCCGTTGCTTCGAAAAGAAAACGCGCCGAATACTAATGTTAGAATCATTGCATCGAAAAGAAAACCCACATACACGGCTCTTCGCTCTCTATTTTCATCATTTGACATCAGTCAGGGTTTCTTATTGCGTGACTTTGGTAGCTAGGGTTCACATTGTTGTTCACCGATTGAGATATATTCGAAGTCCCTCTTTACTGCAATGTAAGTCTTGTGATAATAACGTTTTTTCGATACAAGCTTTGCGTGAGGATTTAGGGTTTAGGGTGCGAGATCATGTAGTTCTTTTCATCTTTTGAAGCAAGCTAATATAAAACAATGGAAGAGAAGAAGGAAACCAAAGGGCCTAAGAAGATGGAGTTGGAAGAGCCTAAGGAGATGGAATTTTAAGAGGTTAATAAGATGGAAATCGAAGAGCCTAAGTAATTGGAAACAAAAATACGTAAGAAGGAAGCCAAAGAGCCTAAGAAGGATACCAAGGAGCCTAAGGTCATCAAAAGTCTTCCAGTTAATTTTGTTTGTGGTTGTATTTGTATTCAAAAGGATACCAAAGAGCTTAAGAGTAATCAAAAGTTTAAGAGTCATCAAAAGTTATCCAGGTAATTTTGTTTCTGGTTGTACTTGCATTCAAAAGTCAATTGTAATAAAAAAAACATTGCATCGTATAGTATTTTCGTGCATTATTGAAGTGATCCGCTGCAACGCCAAAATAAAACTAAAATCACACAACTATAACATCATAACATCAGCTAAATAATGCCACATTAACACCAAAATAACACTAAGATAATACCAAAATAACAAAAAATAACAGCAAAATAATACAAAAATAACACCAAAATCACACAACAATAACGTTATTGTATCAGCTAAATAATACCACACTGACACCACAATAATATCGAGATAATACAAAAATAACACTGAAATAACATCACAATAATAACTAAATATCATCACAATAACAACATAATAACACCACAATAATATACTAATAATATCATAATAACACTAAAATAACAACTTAATGACACCATAATAATATCATAATAACACCAAAATAACACTGAAGTACACCAAAATAAAACCAAAATCAAACAAAAATAACACAAGAGTAAAAGCTAAATAACACGACTAACATAATAACGCCAACAGAATACCAAAATAACACTGAATAACACTGAAATAACACTAAAAAACATCACAATAATGTTTCTGTTTTATTGAAAAGGGATTGTGTTGTTATTATGACTATATTATGACATTATTTCGGTGACAAATACAATGCCAATGCCACCGCAAAAATACTAAATACAACCACTTCAATAATATCTACTAGACCCACTTCAATAACACTTTAAAACCACTGAAATAAAACCACATCACCTTAATAGAGCTACTCAATAACACCTCGATAATACCATAAGATAACTCCAATAAAACTCAAATAACACTTCTGCACAATAACACCATAGTAACTTGTCGTAATACTCCAATAACATCGACAATAATACTTTTGCTTAATAACACCGTAATACAACTCCAATAACAGCTAAATACAACACCAATAATACTATTGCAAAACCACACCAAAACTCCAATACAATACCAATAACAGCGCAGAAACATGCTAATACTTCAATACAATGCCAATAACACTGCAAAAACCCTCCATAACATCGTCAATAATACTGTCGCAAAAACTTGATTATAACACACCAACGATGTTATTCACATGGTTTTGCAGTGTTATTAGAGTTGTACCATTGTGTTATTGGCATGGCCTGTTGCGACGGTGTTATTAGTGGTATTTTTTCAGTGTTATTGCAGTATTATTGGCGTGGTTTTACAATGTTATTGGATGGGAACCACAGTGTCATTAGTGTGTGTTTGCGGCGTGTTATTGTCACTTTTTTTCGTTATTATTGTGGTGTAATTGGGGTGGTTTTGTATTGTTATTGTAGGAAAATCATGGTGTTGTTTGTGTGTGTTTGCGACGTTCTTATTGTCTCTGTTTTTTGGCGTTATTATTAGGGTGTTTTTGTAGTGTTATTAGAGAGAAACAGTAGTGTTATTTGCATGTGTTTGCGGCGGTGTTATTACTATAATTTTGCGATATTATTGTGATTTTATTGAAGTGGTTTTGCGATGTTATTAAAGGGAACCCCGATGTTATTGAAGTATAGGAGATCACTTTAGAACCTTACTTTATAATAGAGTTGTTATATTTTTCAATAGTTTGATCATTGCCCACACTCCATAAAATGGGTAGCAGTAGATGATATTATTGCTCTATTTTTTTAATGTTATTAATTTGATTAAATTTGAGTTAACCATGAAGGTTTGAGTACATTTATGTTATTTTTAATCCTCAGTTAATAACTCAAAGTCTCAAACGACTAATAATCTTACGTTCATACCACTCAATTCCTATGTATTTACACACTCTAACAACTAAATTTTACTTTTCATATTTGTACCACCCAAAATTTTCATATTACATAAAAAACAAAATGAAATAGACATTCTCTATTATGCATTATTATCGAGATATTATTGCGGTATTATTGGCGTGATTTTGATGTGTTATTGGCATAGTATTGGTTGTATTATTGGAGTGGTTTTGCGGCGGTGATATTATTGCAGTAGTATTTGTGCGGGTTAGCCGTGCTATTGGAGGGAACCCATAATGTTATTGACATATTTTTCCGTGAAGGTGTGTTCGCATTGTTTTGTGGTGTTATTGACATGATTTTGCAGTATTATTGAAGAGTTGTTGCCATGTTATTGGAGTGGTTTTGTTGCGACGGTATTATTGCGGTAGTATTGGAGCGGTTTAGCGTCGTTATAAGAGGGAACCCGCAGTGTTATTAACATGTTTTTCTGTGGTGGTGTTATTCACATTGTTTTGCAGTGTTATTGAGGTTTTATTGCGG